CTGTTTCAAAAAGTTTCGCATTTTTTCAGAGATTGTACTATAAATTTATATTAATATTAGGATTTTTTTTTTTTTTGTGAATAAAAGTTTTGATGCTTACTTTTTTGAAAATCAAGTTGTTAGTTACTTCAATTAGGTTGCTAATAGTAGCATTATTTGTCTAAAATAAATATTTGTTATTAGCATAAAATATAAATATGTAAGTATTATTTATGGTGTATAAAATACCTTTTGATGATACCAAAAAAGAGCTAAAATTGAAAATGCAATGAATGCAGATAAAATTTTTTTTTAATTTTTTATATTTTTGGTCATTATTACATGAACAGACGTAAACATTTTGCAATTGACTTTGTCAATCATTAGAAAATTTTGGTTGTGAAGAATTGATAGCCGCAGGTTGTAAACAATTATTCGTTGCTTGCTCTTGGATATTCTTGGATTCTGTTTGAACTTTAAGAACTTTATTATTAATTAACTGTTCATTATCATTGTTATTGATTAACTGTTCATCATTATTTAATGAACTGGATTGTTGTAAAATAAGTTCATTGTCAGTTGTGTAGGGTTCCGAGTCAGAATCTGAGGTGTCAGTCAATGAAGAATCACTATTAACTTCAATAGTAATTTGACAAATATTTGGTCAGAGTTTATTATCTTTTTGGATTGATCTAGTACTGTTAATAAAGATATTTACTTATTACACAATATAAAAAATTTACTAGAAATAACAAAAAGCAATTGATTTTATACTATTAGTATAAATTTTCGCAGCCGTAAAAAATTTGTTTATAAAATAATTTTCATCTTTAATGATCCTTAATTGTTCATGAAGATTCAATTGATTAGAAAAGGAGATACCTTGTTTTAAAGAACTTGGAAATTTTTGTCTATAATTGTCATAATCAATTCTAGATAAAGTAACATTTGGAATTTCATTTCTTCTAATACGAGATATTATTATATTTGTAGATAGAGAGATATCGTACTAAACTTGAGATTTTAAAGAAGATCAAACAAACGCGATCTTTATACTAAAAATTATGCGAATATTTATTTGTTTGCATCTTCAATCGTGTAAAATTTCACTTCAGTCTATGACTTGATAGTTTTGATGAAACCTCATATAAGATAAACTTTTCAGGCTTCAGAATCACGTAGTTTATTAAAAATATCAATCATAGTCATATTTCATATTTAATATTGATATAGATTTATATTATGTGGCTTTTTTTGTACTTTAAGATTTATGGTGTGGAAAATCACGTGAAATTCTATTTTGTTTGTATAATGCTCTAAAAAAAGATCAAAAATTCAAACTGTCCATAGGGGTCATGGAAATTGACTGAAATTATCTCTTTTGAATTATACAATACCGATATCAAAAAAGAATTACTATATATTTAAGCCAAATTTGGCACTAATATAAAAATACTCTAATTTTAAGTTCATAGAAATTACATGATTTTCATAAAATTTAAAAGATCTCAATTTTAAAACATATAATTGACAATATATTGTATTTTAAAATTATTAATCTTAAAACCTGTTTTAAGCCAAATCTAGTATTAATATAAAAAACACTCATATATTCATGTAATTTTACTTTACGTGCTTTAATGTAAAATATTTAGTTTACATATCATAAATTATGCACAATATTACGCGTCTTTTTTATGCAACCAGTAATGATCACATGGTTATCTATCTTTTAATTGTTATTTTGGCGCAATGATATATACATATGTATAAATAATTATTATGCCCATTCATCTGCATATGGTTGGGTAATTACGAATAGGCTTCACCTATCAGCATATCTGACAAAATTTGAAGAATGATATATATGATGACCCAATGCCCCATCTCACTAATTCAAAAAAATTAAAAGTCAACAATGTTTGCATTGCCACATTTTCCCAGCTTTAGAGATACATTAGGCAGGCTATCGTATATTCTGACATTCAACAATCAACCTTGGATATCTGCACAGTACTTTAAGTTTAAACTGATAACAAACGAAAGTATTAATGTAATAGCAACTACATTTTTATAAGCTATGATGCCAGATGGTCAGTTAAAATATGAGTTTATGTCAGCTACCACACGTCATTTACTTTATGAATGATCAGGAGATGACTATAGTAATGAAAGTTGAACATGTGGTTAATATTCCTTATGTTGACGGCTTTGATTTCGCTAATGGTTTTGATATTGTTCATGTTTTAGTTACTGATTTGATCGATGAAAATTCAGCAAAAAGAGAAGCCAAAGCGTTACGATACATTTATAGTGATCGTTTTCATATGTATGTTGAAGATACTTCATGATATAGACATTCACTTGATCATCTTGTTAAATATCGAAACATTCAAGTAACCCACTTGTTAAGTGGCTGGAAGGTAACAAGTCTTTCAAATGCTAGAACAAACTTTGTTATATCAAAAGTTGTAACTCAACATTACAATTGGGAAGGCATATATTTAGCGACCAGAATTTTAGACATGAAGAACTCTGAAATTATAATTGATGCTTTCATTGCAAAAATCATGAAATGAGATAAGTTTATCTGGGTTAACAAGTACACAGGAAGAAGGAACAAAGTTAGATGTAAAATCTACAAGAAAGTAAAGCGTCAAGTTTATACTGATATTCTTTCTGACATAACTATAACATATTTATCAATTACACAAAGAATAATAACTTCGTAGGAATATATTCAAAAAAGACAGAGGAGGGATGATCGATTCAGTTATAGAATTCAATAAAATGAGTGTTTAGCTTCTGGTAGCCTGTTCATCGTTCTATCAATTTGATTTAAAATATCATATTAATAATTTATTTGAAAGAAATTTTAAAATAATTCTTTTTTATGTACATAATAATTTTAACTTCATGATTTCATAGTTGGAAACATCTTTGAGTTTTCATCATACTGAAATTGTCTCATTGATATTTATTTCGCATATATATACAACACATATAGTATCACCTGAAGTTTGCTCTCACTTTTTTTAACAGTATTTAGATAATGATAAAATTAATGTTAACTAATAGATTTGACAAATCACATATATTTTAAAAATTATGCCAAAATCTCAAAAACCTGTTTTAAACCAAACTCGGTAATCTACAGTCAGCTCTGAATATACTCAATCTACTTTAATGAACCAATCAGACAGAACCGATTTTATATATAATAGTTTAGGATAGTTATACCGAACTTATATAAAGTTGTCGTACCAAATCATGTACTGCTTTAGTTTTTTACTATGCAAATTTTTTTGTTCTAAAATTTTATTTGTATAAAAGCTTTTTTAATGATACTATGTAAAAACAGTAATGTATCAATAATCTTTTGTTTGACCAATCTGAATGCGACAAACCACGATATGTGTCTCTTAATAAACCTATTAAATTTACAACCGGATTTTACATGTTTTTAAAACTATGAATACAGCATATAATAAATTTATGAGAATTTAAACAAACATATTCTCAAGAATAGTTGATTAAATTTCATTAGTCATAACAGATTTATTGAATTTGAAATACATGAATCTACGAATCTGTCTATAATCATTATCAAAATTAAGAACAGCAATTAGT